CGGACGTAGAAGAAATCTCCGAGATTGGGAACGAAAGCCACGATGTCGATCTCGCAATGGAAGCCGACAACATACGCCTCCGCTCTGACCTGGACAAGAAGGGAAAGTTGCTCGCGGATATGGAAACGCGCTTGGGCCACCTGCAGGAAAGTTACGACGATCTGAAAGAGGAGGTTGTTCGCAAGGGCAGGGAGCTTGAGGCGTTCCACGATGCCCAAGACGGTGCTGGCAAGGAGGTCATCAGGTCGCTCGAGCTGAAGCTGCGCGAGCAGGACGAGCTTATTGCCAACCAGGAGGCGCAGGCTGAAGATGATCGCGTAGCCAAGGAGCGGCTGACGAGCGAAGTTTCGGCGCTCAAAGCCAAGACGCAGAAGCTTGAGACGCTTGACGATGAGGTCAAGGAGCTACGGTTCAAGAATGAGGAACTATCCCGCAAGGCCAACATGGTTGAGCGGTACAAGCAGAAGCTCGAGGCGCAGTCTACATTGTCAAAAGAGATGGACAATTTGCTCTACGAAAAGGAGCAGATGCAGCGCGATCTCATTGAGTATGAGAAGGTTCTGAAGAGAAATCAGGCCTTGGAGCAGACTAACGAGCAGTACGCTTCAAAGCTCAGAGATTACGAGCTGCAGTACGTTGAGTTGGATGCTCAGCGCCGGGCTCTTCACGATGACACTATGCAGTTGAGAGCTCGCCTCGCAACGCTTGATGCGCAGCGTCTCTCCGATGAGCATCTCATCTCCGAGCTGCAGGAGCAGATCAACTCGGGCACCCCGGGTGCTCTGTCTCCCGACGCCGGTACTGCGGGCTTCAGTCTCGAACAGGAGCTTGAGGGTGTTAGCAGCGCCGCCCCACCCAACCTCAGCCTCGAGGTCTCTCGTCTCAAGGCAGAGAACAACTTGCTGCGGAACGGTATGGGATCTGGACCAGAAAACACTCGATTGCGTCAGGAGCTCGAGGAGGAGCGTAGGCAACGTGAACGTATCCAGGGAACTTACAACGACACCTTCGAGAAGCACCAGATTGCGGAGGCCCAAATCAGCGCTCTGATCGAGAGCAGTGGCGAAAAGTTAGTTGAAATCGTTGACACAGCTATGCGACTAGGCGTGGGCAAAGTGCTAACTCAAGAATTCCACCACAGCGAGGTGCTAGCCAACCTGAGAATCCAACTTGCTCAAAAGGCCCATGAACTTGAAAGTGAGAGGAGGAAGAACAGCGAGATCCAAGCTCAGCTCTCTGACAAGGATCGCGAACTCCTCAGCGCAAGGACCGATCTCTCAGCCGTCGCAAAGGATAGCGTTGATGCCCTCGAGGAACTCAAGTCTACTGACCAACTTATTTCCGGTTCAATCCGCGAAGAACTCGAGGCAGCGCGGCAACAGCTGAAAAACCTCGGCACTGACCTCGAAGAACAGCGGAGCTCACTTATCAACGCCCTACTTGAGAAAGACAAGCTTCGGAAAGACCTTGACGAGGCGAAGGATGGCTCGAGTGCGGAGCCGACGGAGGCCGCCCAGAAGCTCCAGGAGAAGGTTGACAAACTGCGTGTCAGGCTCAAAGAGCGCCAATCGGTGAGTTCCCTCAGATCTCTTGCAAACGCCCTAGCCCTACAACATCGAAATGCCGAAGGCGGTGTGCCCCAAACTCCCGGTACCCCGTCCGGAGCTGTGTTGTACGATAGCCGCCCGAATGCGCGGATCTTAGTCCCTACATGTCACCCCCATCTTGACCTGCCTTCCCAAGCACCAAAATCTCCTTTGAGTCTCAGACCGAGAGTAAGCTGGTGGAGGAAGGTCTTCAGGCGGTCAAAGTTGTCCATTTGATGGCCCTTTGTATTGGGAATCATGAGATGAGGGGTTCATGGCTGACGGTTTTTTGTTTTTCAGCAATTAGAGAAATCCGAGCAGGATAAATACGACTTGCAGCGGAAGCTTAAGGCAGCCGAAGGCGGAGAAGCTGCCGCGGCTCAGAAGGTACGTTACTATCATGCTGCAACGATCTCAATTACACTCTATTGGGCTTGGACATCATGGTCTCGCCTTGATCATGATGACGAAGGAGAATCGGGTTGGCTGACAAAGACGGCGTCAACAGGCTGCGAGCGATCAAATCATCAAGAACCTCCAGCGCGAGAACGCCCTTATTGCGACGGCGTGGTACGATCTTACTAGCCGTATTCAGAGCAACCACGTCGTCTTGCAAAGGCGGAGTGAAGCCCCCAAGAGCTGGCTGGGCAAACAAAGGCAGATGGTCAATGGTTAGTCTGATGTCTTTATGAGGCCGGGACACGAGTGTTTGAAGACTGACTGTCTACACCCATAGCCACTCCTAGGAGATGAGGCAATCTTCCGAATCCATAGCCTTGCATCGTCCGCGCATCGTATGATGACTTGGCTCCTCTTCACTTAACATATCCAGGTTCACATTACAGCCCTTGGCGAGAACTAGCAACCTACCCTTACCTCAACCTTACCTCATCTTGCGCTGGAGTAGGAGAACATCTCGGCGTTGGTTTTCCACTGTCTTCTTTTTCTACTTCCTCCTTCCGTGTCTTAGCGAATTAAAGGGGATGGATTGGCTGGCCTGCATCTCGGGTACCATTGCATTGCACTGCGCCGGTGGCTGGGTGGTATACTGTCTCCTCTCTTCTTCATCTTCCCCATCTACACTTTTATCAAGTCCTTTTTCTTCCTGCAGCCTTATCATACTCTTCCACTTTCATGTATAGCTTTTTTCTTCCAGCTTGCGGGAGGTTTACAAGCCCGTCGGCTTCCCGTTTTCGGGGCAACGCAGGTACTCTTTCTGGTGACTTGAGAATAGAATCGAATCTTCATTAACACATGTACATGTCTGTGTCACTTAACAAAGTGACATGTCATCTCGCGCTCAACGTCATTGAAGGCTCCGTTCTGCGGGCCGTTTCGTGAACCGGCTCGATAGCGGGGCATTCACCACACGAAGATTCCGGATCTGCGAAGCCAAGTGAGTAAGTGAGTCGGCATTGAACATGAGCAACTGCGGGACCCCTTTCCCAGGACTTGAGAAGCTCAGATCAAAGATCATACCGCCATCGGTATTTCGCTGTTCCGACTTGACGATATACCGGCCGCTCAGTCGGGTTCGTCGGATGTCGCTGACAGAAGAATCGGACGTAGTACCTTGGGCATGAGACCTTTGTCACCCCGGGGTTCGCTGTGGTCCGGGTCGGCATCGGGGGGGGCCCCGCGGCCCCACTCATTTCGCTTCTTCGAGAAGCACCGACGAAGCCCGAATCCGGCCAGCGTGTTCCCCTTTTCCCCAAGTACGCGTCTCCAGGGTGTCTGCGTCGCGATTCAGGAAAACGGAAGGAATGACATCACGGCATTTAGATTTCCAACAGTTCGAGCACAGGGCAATCAGGACCATGGAAGGAAAGTCTGCGAGGCCATCCAACTGCAAACCGCCGGTTTTGGTTATTAGTGAGACAATAAAGTTGTTGTTTTACATACAAGCGTGCGACGGAAGGGGTTTTCTACACGGTACAACTGATCCTGGCCACGTTGACGCAAAAAAAAAGACATAAACCAGCCCAGTCCTGTTGATCTCAACAGCTTCGGGGGGCGGACGAGGACGAGTCCTTTCCAGTCCATTTCATGATCCATAAAAGAGTCCCATAAAAAAGTTCCTCCGATCCATGCCCTCCTTTCTTCTGGTCATATCGTTGATCCAGAAGATAGAGGGCCAAAGTAAGAGACGCTGTAAATGAAGACCTTTTTCTCCGTTTCCTCCTGATCGGCTTGTGGTGCGCAGCGGCCGGGGGGCTGTGGACGGGGCGGCGCGCTGGCGGGAGCAAAGGCTGGGAAGCCTGTGCCCGCTTAGTTCTTTCCGGCAATGCGGCTCAGAATGCCGGAGGCGTGGCCACCCTTGCGCTGCTCGTCAAAGACCTCAAGCATGTTCTTCCATACCTGGCCGGGCTGCTGCGACGCGTCGAGACCCTTCCAGATACCGTTCTGCTTGTAGTAGTTGACAACGGGGGCGGTCTGGGCGTGGTAGGTGGCAAGACGCTTCTTCAGGGCCTCGGCGTTGTCGTCGCTGCGCTGGATGAGGGGCTCGCCGGTGATGTCGTCCTTCATGTACTCCTTGGGAGGGTTGAAGGTGCTGTGGTAGCTGCGGCCGCTGGCGGGGTGGACGAGGCGGCCAGTGATACGAGCGACGAGCAGTGAGTCGTCGATCTGAAGCTCAACGGCGTGCTGAAGCGTCTGGTTGCGAGCCTTGAGCATGGTATCGAGACCCTCGGCCTGGGGGACGGTACGAGGGAAACCGTCAAGGATGAAGCTACGTCGTTCCAGTTAGCAACGCTTCCTCAGTAGTGGCCAGTTAACCGTCAGGCCGGTTCTCTGGCAGGACAAAGATGTGCCATACCCTCCCTTGCACTCCTTGTTGTTGTCGAGCTCCTCCTTGATCATGCCAATGACGATGTCGTCGCTGACCAGACCGCCCTGGTCCATGATCTTCTTAGCTTCCCGGCCGAGCGGAGTCTTCTTGGCGACCTGGGATCGCAGCATGTCGCCAGTGGCCTGCGAGTGTGATGGACGATTAGAAATGATCTAGAGCGTAGCAGCACGTCAAGACAATGTCAATTGACTTACCAAGTGGCAGCAGTTGAACTTCTCCTTGATCTTGGGGGCTTGAGTGCCCTTGCCTGTGCGGAATACCATCATCAGTACGACTGTCGCGACACAAATAGCACGTGTAAAAATGCTCAATTGGAGCTACATACCGGCACCGGGGGGGCCGATGAGGATCATGCGAACCTCCTCGGTGGAGAGCTTGCCGGAGCCGCCAGCTGCGCGGTCCTCCAGAGACTTGATTCTGGACTCGAGGCTCTCGACCGTGTTGGTCAGCTTCTTGACTGCTTCCTCAACGAGACTGCTCATTTTGACGGTTGGTGAAGGTATTGATATGGCCGGACCGAGGCTAACGATAGGAGGGAGGAGGAGCAAAGAGATGCACGAGTGTGGCTACGAGGGGGAAAGGAGGAAGAGAGGAGAGGAGAGGATGATGGAGTCGAGGTCGAAAGTTGGACTGGGGGGAGCAGTGCGAACTAAAGCTTTTGCGGGAAAAATGATTGCGAGAGAGGTTGAGAAATCGCTGCAAGGTCCTGACAGGCCAAGTCGTCCAGGTTCCGCCTCCAGTTTGTGCCAGGTACCGCCTACATCGTACCGAGCTTTGCGCTTTCCACGGCCCCGTTGAGTGCAGGTGACAGGCCACTGAGCGGCCCCAGTGCAGGAATGGAGGCTGGTCATTGGCCAGAGTGGTCCTCCGAGGGACCGCTGGACTTTCTGCTGGGGAACAGGGTGGCAGGCGTTCGTTCGGCTGTTTCGCAGCGTAACAGCGCCCTCCATATTTCCGCTTTGGTGCCACTGCGTGCGCTTCCGTTACAGCGCTCCGGCTGCCATTGGCTCGTCCTCGCCGTTGTCTCTCCGCCGAGGTCCAGCGCGGATACGTACTGTCTACATCGGGGGATAGTACCGCGAGCCATTGGGGCCTGCTCAGTGTTTACGGCCCGGCTAGGTAGCTTGCGGATAAGGCACGGCATCAGAAGCTCTCGAGAATGATCCCCCGGCGCACCGGATGGGACGCCATGTATGAGGTCACTGGGTCAAGATTTTTTGTTTTCCAAGTGGTTTTTTGGTGCATTTGGTGCCTTTTGATGCGGCATGTGAGTCTCTTGGGGTCATCCCAGTCACCCGCAATTCTCCGAACGCCGCACTTGACTTCGTGTCCATCTGTTACTTGTCACCTTGAGGTTGGCTATTCCTGACGGAAATAAGTCCGTCATCGAATTCCTCAGTCAGCGAGTTACTGTGTTACTGAGCACGGAATGAAGAGAATCTCGCAGGCCGATTGCGGACTCGACCGTCTGGGGCCTTTTTCAGAGATCTTGTCCAATGAACAGATATCGGACGTGCGCTTCCATTCCCTGCGCTGTCGCACGGCCCGAGCTGTGGCTGATCGCTGCTTGCGGCTCAATAATCGTGGCGAGAGACTTGCTGACTCAGAAAGAGCTTGCACACGTGACCTGGCGAGGCTCGAGCTTCCAATTGCTTGCACCTAGGCCCGATTCGTAGCTTAGCTAGGCGGGAAGGCAGCCTTAGCAGTTACGACACCACCACCACCATCACATACCCTGCCTCTACCCACCACAGCCCGAAACCACCACCGATTCAGCAACCCTCTATCTTCCCCCGAACCCGAACCAATCGACCTAGCGAAGCTACGAAATCCCTCTATCATGCCTGCCACCACCGCAGAGACTCTGTCTCTCGTTCAGCGGAATGTCTCCGTTGCCCCTCTCGTGCTTCTTTCCGTCGTCGACCACTACAATCGCGCGGTAGCCAAGGGATCGAAACGGAGAGTGGTGGGTGTTCTGCTGGGTTCAAATGACGGAAACAATGTCCGCGTATCCAACAGTTTCGCAGGTAAGGACTACTTGAGCGGAAGCTATCCATCTAGATCATCCCCGCGGTACTAATACATGCTCGCAGTGCCGTTCGAGGAAGATGATAAGGACCCCTCAGTGTGGTTCCTGGACCACAACTACGTCGAGGGAATGAATGATATGTTCAAGAAGGTCAACGCGAGAGAAAAGCTGATCGGCTGGTACCACTCCGGCCCCAAGCTGCGGGCGTCCGATCTCGAGATCAACGAGCTGTTCAAGCGCTACACCCCCAACCCGCTACTAGTCATCATTGACGTCCAGCCAAAGGAGGCGGGTGTGCCGACGGACGCATACTTCGCCGTCGAAGAGATCAAGGATGTGAGTGGCATTAGGTTATGCCGTACGAAGCCACTGCTAACAAATCTGATTGTAGGATGGTACCACCACGTCAAGAACCTTCGTCCACACCCCGTCGATCATCGAGGCCGAGGAAGCAGAGGAGATTGGTGTCGAGCACCTCCTTCGTGACATCCGCGATGTCGCTGTTGGAACCCTCTCGACGAGAATAACAAACCAGCTTCAGTCACTCCAAGGGCTGCATCTTCGTCTCCGCGATATCGGTGCCTACCTCCAGAAGGTTCTCGACGGCCAGCTGCCCGTGAACCATGCCATCCTGGGCAACCTGCAGGATGTCTTCAACCTCCTTCCCAACCTGTCCACGCCAAAGGCCGATGGCAAGTCCAGCGGCGGCGAGCTCTCTCACGCCATGAGCATCAAGACCAACGACCAGCTCATGGCCATCTACCTTAGCAGTTTGATCCGCGCCATCACTGCCTTCCACGACCTTATCGAGAACAAGATTCAGAACCGACAGCAGGCAGAGGAGAAGGAGGCCAAGAAGGAGGAGGAGGCGAACGGCAAGGACGGAAAGAAGGACGATAAGGCGAACGGTGTAAACGGCGAGAACAAGGAGGCCTCTGACAAGGAGAAGGAGGCGAAGAAGGAGAAGAAATAGAGGACTGCGCGACGACGCAGTGGACGGAGAAACCACACGCATTCAAAACACGGGAACTGATACCCGCGATAGACACTGGGGCGTGGGCATGTCATAATATCTCGGCGTCCTGGGGGGCAAGGCCGGGGAGGGAACAGGCAAATTCACAAGAAAAGAGTATGCCTTGTACAATGATAGCATGTTTTGACTGATGCCCTGAGACTCCCCCCGTGTTACTCTTCATCCAAGTGCTACACTGTCGAGTGACTACACATCCGCAACTAACCCCGCCATCTCCTCCCTGCTCACTCTCCTCTCAGTGACATACTTCCCCAAAGTATCCGCCCACTGCTCGGAGAGAAGACAAGCGAGCAGGTGTTTGCAGCAAGGCACACCACCATCATCCACGCCGTCCAGACTCAGGCCTCCAAACCGCCAGTCGCTCGCCTCGCGGTTGTCGTCCTCCCCGTCGTTCTCGACTTCATCTGCGCCCATGATGACCGGGTCCGAACGTACGTCGTGGCCCCCGCCACCGCTGCTGCCGCCGCTGCTGGCGCTGACGACTGCCGGAAACGCTTCGTACGCAAAGTTGGCGCAGGAGCAGTTCCAGGCGTCGAGGTGGACGAGGTACGTCGTCGACGCGGAGGCTGATGTCGCGACGGCGTGGTGTCTGCGGGTCATTGTTGAGGCTACGGAGCGGACGAGGTGGAATGCGGCGGCGGCTGACGGAGCTTGGTTTGTCGCTGGTTGGAGGCGGGGTGGTGGTGGTGACCCCTGTCCATCGGCGGCCGCTTCGGACGCGGCGTCGTTGGGATTGATACTGGGTTGACGTTGGCGGGCGGCGGGTGCGGGGTTGGCGGGGTTGTTTCCTTCTCGGTGGTCGTGGCCGCGGCCGAGGCCGGCGGAGGGAGGGGTGGTAGCCTCCGGAACCACGCGGGTGACGAGGTTCCGGTCTAGGAGGTCCAGGGCCGGGAGAAGGAGGGAGGGAAAGAGGACGTGGAGGGTTACCAGGAGCGGACGGTGGGATTGCGGGAGGGTTTTGAGGGGGTTTGCTGCGTCGGCCGCGTCGTTGCCGGCGGTGTTTCCTGGCGGTGGTAGAGGGGCCGAGGTGAGAGAGTTGATGAGGTCAGTGATGAGGATGCGGGGTGTCGGCAGGGTGTCTGACTGCGTTGATACCGGTGAGAAAGAAGACATGGCATAGCCCTTCTCGCCCTGCTTCTGGGTTGTGAGTATCGTTTGGTTTGTTGTTGAGCGATGACGGTATTGAGAGATAGAAATTGCGGTTCACTGAGCGAGGTTTGTAATGTGCTGCCTGGTTCACAGGTGTGAGGCTCATCAGCCAGAACTCATAGTCACCGAATTTGGCTCCGGATTGTACGCCCTATATGAGATGGAAGTCTGCATTCCCCAGCTTCGCCACAAATGAGGTTCTTATCAGTCGAATATTTGACCGAAGCTGGAATACCAAAACTCCGAAGCAATCAGGACGCAAGGTGATGAACAGAAGAAAATGTCTCTTTTGAGTTTTGCCGCCTCACAGCTTTTGTCTAATAATCACATTATGTCCGCCGCAAAATTTGGCATAATCTTACAGCAAATATCGCTTGCATCCGGTGCTCCGTAACCAGGTTCCCTCTTCTCCCCCTTCCCCTTATTTCTTCAGCCCTTCCTCTAAACCCACTCCTTGGGCGCTCTGAGGACATCCACGAGGCGTTGCTCGCGGCTCTTGGGCTCGGGCTCATGCATGTACTTCCAGCTGGCCGTCAGGGGCAGACTCATGAGGATACTCTCGACTCTGGAGCCGGGGGTGTTGAGGCCAAAGGCGGTGCCGCGGTCGTGGACAAGGTTGAACTCGACGTACTTGCCTCTGCGAATCTGCTGCCAGTCCTTCTCGGCCTCGTTGAAGGGCATGTCCTTTCTCTTCTCGAGGATGGGGAGGTAGCCGGGCAGGAAGGATTTGAGGCAGTCCTGGATGAAGGCAAAAGTGTTCTCGCGGTCCTTTTCGGTCTCGTCAAGGTCGTCAAAGAAGATGCCGCCGACGCCGCGGCACTCGCCGCGATGCTTGTTGTAAAAGTACTCGTCGCACCACTTCTTGAAGCGCGGGTAGTAGCTCTTGTCGTGCGAGTCGCACGTCTCCTTGAGCGTCTTGTGGAAGTGCACAGCGTCCTCGTCAAAGAGGTAGGACGGGGTCAGGTCGCTGCCGCCGCCGAACCACCAAGCCTGGGAGGTGCCGTCGGGGTTCGACGTCTCAAAGTAGCGGTAGTTGAGGTGGACCGTCGGGGCCATGGGGTTCTTGGGGTGCAGGACCATGCTGAGGCCGGCGGCGAAGAAGGGGAGGGAGTCGACGTTGTCGTCGAGGTTCTTGTGGTTCACGCGCATCTTGGCGATGGCGGGCTTGGGGAGGGTGCCGTAGACGACGGACACGCCGACGCCGCCCTTCTCAAAGACGTTGCCGTCCTGGAGCACGCAGGTGATGCCGCCGCCGCCCTCTTTGCGGTTCCATTCGTCCTTGCGGAACTTGGTGCCGTCGACCTTTTCGAGCTCCTTGACGATGATCTGTTGCTGTTCCTTGATGAACTTTTCCATACGCAGGCGCATGGGCGAGTCGACGGTAACTTCGGACTCCCGCTTGGTCAGGGCATCGCGCTCGGCCAGGGTCGGCGGATCGAGTTGGAAGGGTTCTTGGACGGCCTGGATCGGAGAGTGATGTTAGCGACGGTGGTGCTTTGATGCATCAATGGGAAAGGCGGAAGCTCCGGCATTGGGGGAGGTATTTGGGTTCGTGGTGGTGAAGGGTATATGTTGCAGTACCATCTTGTAGGCGATGGGAGCTGCAGCAGCGAGACCAATTGCGCCAATGAGGAAGCGGCTATAAGCGGCACCGGATTGTTGACCCTTGAAATGGGACTTTGAAGAGGAGGAGACGAGTCTGCGACCGAATTGAAGCTGTGGCTGCTTGGTGGTGATGG